ATGAATTAGCCATGGATTTACATGTATTCCCCATCCCAATCCCCCCCCCCACCTCCCTCTCCACCCGATCCCTCTGGGTCTTCCCAGTGCACCAGGCCCGAGCACTTGTCTCGTGCATCCAACTTGGGCAGATTCTTTACCAGTTGAGCTACCAGGGACACATGCAATAACTATTATTAAATTTTATGTCTCCTTATAAAGACTTTTATTGCATATATAACTCAATGCAAATATATATTTTTCTTTCCCATTTTAGAAGTAGAGATATAGGGTATACACTGTCTTTCAATGTGATTTATCCTACACTGGAGATATTTCTGTTAGGTGAAGTGCTGATTGGCTTACCACATTTTTAACATGCAATGAGATGAGCTCTAAAGTGAAAACTAATTTTTTGCACAAAATAAAGATACAACTTTACTGTTTTGTCATTCAACTTGAAATTTTTTTAAAAACCCTGCTAATTCCTGATAAAAATATTAATCCTACTTGTATAGAAATAATTAGCAATACATTTATACCTGATATGTGTCTCTTTTTTCAACTTCATAAGATTATTAACAATAATTTTAAAATATTAATATTTCTGGCTTATTTCACATATGAATTTGTGGAACACACTCAATAATTTTTAATTTTTTTTTGTCCACAGAAAGTAGTTAATGGCAACAAATACAACCAAACATATCAATAAAGTACTTCATTGCATTTTTTTCCCCCTCTGGGAGATTTGTACTAACATACATTCTTTCACTTGACCTTACATGAAGATATGCTAAGTTAATTATTCAACAAGTATTTAGTGAGGGCATATGACTACATTACTCTTTCATTCCTTTCTCCTTCTTTCTAGAAAACTCTATAATTTCTGTGTGAATTTTTTAAAATTAAAGATATGTGAGTAGGAAAAGACAATTTCTTAAGCAAATTTCAACTCGTTTTTTTTTTTCACTTTTACTAATATTAGGATATAAAAATGTTTAATAATTTCTAAAAAGCTAAAGAGAATTTTTAATTAAATACTACATTAACCTAAGAGATGATACTAGTGTATGCTGAGAACTTTGGTTCCATATTCAAGAAACTTAGGTTTCGTCACTATCTTCACAACAAAAAGTCATAACTAGTATCTAGAACAGTGTGTGGCTCAGTGTTCCAGTTAAAGGGAAACATCATTTGACTAGAATAATTTAATAATGTACGTTATTATCCTCATACTTCATCATTCTTCCAGAACACTGAAATGAAAATTTCAGTAGTCATGGCAGACAAAATACAGGCATCCTTAAAGATGGCTGCATCCTAATTACAAGACCTGAGTATGCTACCTACATGGCAAAAAAGGACTTTGCAGATGTGATTAAGATTATAAACCTTGGGATGGAAAGCTTATCTTCTATTGCTCACATGGGCTCAATCTACACCAAGGAATTCCTGTGACTGCTAAAACCTAGAAAAGGAAAGGAAATACATCACCCCTAGAGCCTCTAGAAAGGAGCAGAGTCCTGCCAACACCTTGATTTCAGTCCAATAAGACCTATGTTGGACTTCTAACCTACAGAAGTATGATGTAATAAATTTGTGTTAAGACACTGTATTTGTGGTAAGTTTTACAGGAGAAATAAAATAGTAATACCTGAAGCATATGGGAGAATTGAAAATAAAACTGAAGAGTTCATTTATATTTACCAAAATATAAACAGTCAAAAATTGAAGCTTCCATGAGGAATCCTTACTATGTTTTTAAGGACCAATTATGGAACACAAAACTTAAGAATGCTAAAAAGAAAATCCGCTCTCAGTCACCTATAAAATTATACTAATTTTTATACTTCATTTGGGGTTACGTACCTCTGATCCCAAACATAGGAACAGAATGTATGTCAAACAATTTTTTATGGTAACATTTTTCACATTCCTAGTACTCAGAGTATATCAAACACAGAGTAGGTAATCAGCAAATAGTTGTTGAATAAATAAAAGAAAGAATAATAGAAGATTGGAGAATCAAGAGAAATAACCTAACAATTAATTGCTATCCATATTTTATAATTCTAGAAAAATTTCAGTAAAAATTCCCTCTTCACCACTGTTATTCCTGTAAGAATATAAGTAATAAGGTAAAAAATATGAAATCAATAAAGCCCCAATGTGCATTTGAAATATAATCTAGTTTGTTCCTTAATAGAGAATCACAGTGGAGACCATGAAATAAAAACCCAAAAGTTAAAATGTTTTGATGATGTAATGCAATAAACTGACAATATAAATTTTTATTTAATTTATCTGTATAATTTATAATGAAAATGTGTTGACCTCAAATTCGAGTGTACTACAGAAGGAGGTATTTCGATTTTAACAGTTTTCTTATTTTTTAAATAACCTGTCTCTGTCTAAAACCTCAACATTTTAAGTTTATAATTTCTGGCAAACCTTTTATAATACATGTTAAATACATAAGGACAGCCTGGCAGTAAAAAATTAAATACCTTCATTTAATAACTAATAAATGAAAAAAAAAAGTAGCACTCTAACCTTCTAGGAGACCAGTTCCCTAATTCTGTTTCTCCAGTTCTATTCTGGACAAATATTCTTGAATGCAAAAGAAATTTCTGTAAAAAGAATGCAACAATTTTTAGTATAGCAAAATTTATGCCTAATTTAAATGTCCAATGATAAAAGATTCACTAGGGAAAATGGATCATATCTTGAACACCATGTACTAAAACAAATATCATCTGAAAAAAAGCATGGAAAAGTTTAAACTCATATTGACTTTAATTATTTTCATGCATTTATAGAAAAACAAATAGAAAATAATATGCCAAGTTTTTACATATTAATTCATGGCATTATAGACTATTTAATTGCATATTTTAATCTATTTTTCAAATTTTGATATTAAATTATTTTATAATCATAAAAATCATTTTACAATGAAAAAGACAACTTCTAATGTAAACAATTCCAGTTGAGTTATTTCAAATCCTAAAAGATGATGCTGTGAAAGTGCTGCACTCAATATGCCAACAAATTTGGAAAACTCAGCAGTGACCACAGGAATGGAAAATGTCAGTTTTCATTCCAATCCCAAAGATAGGCAATGCCAAAGAATACTCAAACTACCATACAATTGCATTCATCTCACACAATAGTAAAAAAATGCTCAAAATTTTCCAAGCCAGGCTTCATAAATACATGAACCATGAAATTTCAGATGTTCAGGCTGGTTTTAGAAAAGGCAGAGGAACTAGAAATCAAATTGCCAGCATCTGCTGGATCATTGAAAAAGCAAGAGAGTTTCAGTAAAACATCTATTTCTGTTTTATTGACTATGCCAAAGCCTTTGACTGTGTGGATCACAATAAATTGTGGAAAATTCTGAAAGAGATGGGAATACCAGACCACCTGACCTGACTCCTCAGAAATCTGTATGCAGGTCAGGAAGCAACAATTGGACATGGAACAACAGACTGTTTCCAAATAGGAAAAGGAGTATGTCAAGGCTGTATATTGTCACTCTGCTTATTTAACTTATATGCAGAGAACTTACTTAACTTACATCATGAGAAATGATGGGCTGGAGGAAGCACAAGCTGGAACAGAGGATGAGATGGTTGGATGGCATCACCGCCCCAATGGACATTAACTTGGGTAATCTCCAGGAGTTGGTGATGGACAGGGAGGCCTGGGGTGCTGCAGTCCATGAGGTTGCAAAGAGTCAGACACAAGTGAGCGACTGAACTGAACTGAATGGAATGTAAACAATCACTTCCTCATCATTTGCCATTTCAAATGGTATAATTTTACTAATTCCACAAAACCTTCTGAAGGACTGGGCAGTTTTAAGCCAAATCAAGGCCTTTCCAAATGGCATCAAAGTACATTTTAGGTTAAACCGAGGAATTAAATTGTCTTAAATAATTAAAATCAATAATAACTATTTGGAAATTGACTGTAGAGAATAAGTTAAAGATAAATATTTTACAAGTGAAAAGGCCTACTATTTTGGGTAAATTATAAGAACTGTCCAGTATGGTGAAGTAATGAACTTCCTCAAAACAATAAGTGTAGAAACAAAGGTTAGACATTGAAAGAAATGATTTTTTCATGTATACAATCACTAATATTACCTAGATAGTGTTAAGTGCCTGAATTATGTATGTTTATACGTAATTCATACACTGTTTGCAGGTATTTAGGACAAAATTTCCCTAACCTTTTGGAACTAATCTGGGTGAAAATTAGTTTTATATATCACTGCTGGTCAAATAAAAGAAATATATTGGTGGAATTATAACTTACTGTGGTAGCACAATGAATATCTTTCCATACTGTGGCTTCTCTGGAGAGATCAGAGGCTTCAAACAAATTATCAAAAATCACTTCCCCAATCATGTCATGTCTAGAAAATCTGTCAAAATCATACACACTGAAATGTAGTTTTCTGTTGCTTAGTTGATCATATGCTACAGGAAACTGAAAAGTTTCATCAAACAGAGGATTTAAAGTCTTTCTGTGCACACGAGTCTGAAATTTCTTTTTCCTATCTGGAAGAAGATACATCTTCACATAAGGGTCAGAAGTTCCCATGAAGTCTTTAGCAGGGAGATCTAAGGCTTTGATAATTTTCACCACTAGAAGTTCATTTTCATAATCATACTGGAGGGTGAAATTAAGCTTCCCACAGGTTTTGACATCTTCTTTCCTGTTGTCCTCAGAGTCCACTGATTTCTGTTTGTAGAGTTCTGGTTTTATTCTCCCAATGCTGGTGGTCGTTTCTCCTCTTTGTAAAATGGGTTCTGTGCCCATGCCCAAATCAACACTGGAAACCTGCATTTGCCTTGGTAGGTGTCTTCTGAAGGAATTGTGTCTGCATACATATATATACATATATATACACACAAAAAATCATTTAGGTAGATTGTTTTGATAATAATGTTATATACAGTGGCATATAAACTCTTCCCCACACCCATGATAATGAAGTATTTTATCGACAGCAATAAACAGATGGACACACACACACACACACAAACACAAACACATACACATAAAGTACTTTTGAAAAACCAGGGATGAAGTATTCAAAGAGAAAATCTCCTAAAATTGTAAAAACACCTAAAACACACAAATGCACAATTTACAAGTTCTTGGTATTTTTACTTACCATCATAAGCACAATTACAAAGAAAGAGGATTACCAAAAAAGTTCAATATTACACAAAATGCTATAAATGTTATCAATTACCTGGGTGCATCAAGATGTAAACATTATGTAAACAAATCATTCAGATGACTGGTTCCTTTTCGTCTGGATATTTTGGTCCTATGAATTTCCATTTTAGTGTCAATATTAAAGGCATAAGTCCACATGTTCTTACACGATGTTATTTTAACATTTAACCAAATTAATGTTTACTTTTCAAAAAAATACATAATTATGACAGCCAAAATGAGTACATTTTACTTTTTTCAACATAGAGTGGCTTCAGAAACTCTTAAGGATTGAAAGATTGTAGAATTTTAGAATTTGGGGTTAAATAATAGTTCTTAAAATTCAAACTGAATTTCATATACTCACTGTTATGTTTATTTCATCAACATTTCCAGAACATTAAATATATATATATATATATAAATCAGTTTACTAAGTGTTGCCTAACTGTGACTTGCATTAAGATCTGCTTCTCTTATACTTTCTCCATGATTTCTAGCATGAGCTATGTCAACTTAAGTGTTCCCTCAAGATATAGTTCCAGGTTTTCTGTTCTTTTATCAGTCACTCCATTAGACTAATAATCAGTTCCTGGGCTATAATTACTATCTTAAATCTGATGATTCCCAGAGATTCCTGAGATATAGATATATCTCATATAGACAGAAATTTAGTTCCATATCTCGTTGTCTTCAAGGGAGATTTCTAAACAGATGTCCTAATTTTGCCCCAAAGTCAAGCAAATTCTTTATTTTCTCTATTTTGCTTTCAAATCTGTTATCTCTTCTATAATCTCATAATAGGTCTAACAGTTTTATCAATCATTTATGCTTGGAATGCTGCAGTATGCTTTGAATCACCTTTCCTTTAATTCATGGGCTTTGCTCAATTTTCGAAGTCCTGTGGATCTACTGCTTTGAGACATCTCATATAATTGCCCATTCTTCTTCATTTCCATTGCTATTCGGTACAGATTCTCATCACCTCATACTTTGCTTTCTACAGTAGCCTTCAGTTTGGCTTTCCTTCTTTCAGCTTTCTCTTACACTCAATAGCTCTCCAGCACTTACATCAAAATCCTTTACTCATGTCGTTATATCTTTTCCCACTTGATCATAATTGGAAAATTATCTCTATACAAAGACAAACTAAGACTACTTTATCTCAGATGAGGGAATTTGCTCCTAATTAAACTATACTGGATTCAAAACTAAAATAATTTAGTATTTTAGTTTCAGTGTTTGAGTTTAAATATAAAAGTCTTTACTGACTCACTTAAAGCTTGAAGTGATCTGCTTCCTCAGATTGATCCCATTTTAATGTGTTGAACACACTATAAGATGTATTTTAATATTGACTCTATTCCAGATATATAAGATCATGGGCTTAAATTAGGGTCACAAATCACCAGGAAATAATAAGAATTTTTAAAGGAATACAGATAGTATATATTGCTGTGAATTATTAAATAGATCTAGTATAGCCCACTTTATACATTCAACATTCTTAAGAGATTTGGAATACTTACTAAACAATCTAATGTTTCTGCCAAAATCACTTTCACTTATGCAGAAATTTAATTTTTTTTAATTTTTGCAAGCAAAAAACCCCACAAAAATTTTCTTATTTTTTATAAATTGATCCATACTTTCACTTCCTGTATGCTTTTCAATAAAATTTAATCTTCTGTCCTCCCCCTAAAAAAATCAATAATTTATTTCTTATGTCATGGAATATAACTGTGCAGCTGTAAGCCCCTTCTAACAGGAATCAAAAAGTATTAAGATTTTCATTCTAGTAAGCCAGTACCCTAATTATAGAGTAAATAGTGCCTGTTCTTAGTCAGAGTTTAGCTAGTCATCTAGGAGAAGTTTAATTATTAAAATGTTAAAGCATTGTCGTGACAACACAGATCTTTACCTTATTCCATTTTTTTTTTTTTTTTCTCCTTTGGAATGACAGTGGTAAGTGGCTATTTAGTCTCACACAAATATCCAACCAATTAAAGTACAGGCCATTAGACTGCTACAGACCCCACTCTTAACCTTCAAACCTAAGAAGACAATACATAAATACTTCTCCAGATGGAGAAGGAAAAATTCTACCCACCTTACCTGGAACATCCAAGGGTAGCTACTAAATATAGTCAATATTACATAATGTCACAGGAATAAATGTATTAATATGGCAATTGTAAAATATTATTTTACCGACAGTTCTTTTCTTTCAAACAAAATCAGAAACCAGAAGTTGAGTATGTATGGACAGAATCTCTTTGGGTGACATGTGAGTAGAGTCCTGGAATCCCACTGGAAACCGTGCCAGTATTTCCCACTATCCAAGTGAAAGCACTTGAAGAGGATTACATTGAGATGAGATTTAAAAAATGCTGCACTTAAAATCAGACAATAGTGTGGTCCCAGCCTTCCTATGAAGTGAGCAACTTTGGACAAGTCCCTTCACCTTTTGAACTTTATTTTCTTCATCCATGCTGCTATGCTGCTGCTCAGTTGCTTCAGTCATGTCCGACAATGAGACCATATGGACTGTCACCCGCCAGGATCCTCTGTCCATGGGGTTCTCCAGGCAAGAATACTGGTGTAGGCTGCCATTTCCTTCTCCAGGGAATCCCAACCCAGGTATAGAACCGGTCTCTTACAATGTATTGTTCATCCTGCTCACAGCGCCAATTGTCTTGCTGTATCTCACTGTGCACACTGTTCGCTGAAACCATGGTAAGCAAGGTTACCATGAGAGCTAAGAGACTGGAAGAAAACGTGAGGAGTCTAGGAACTGCAGACCTGTTTATTCTCTCCTGGCTGGTGCAGCAGCCATAGCAGACACAACATAACTGCACACAACCCTTCTTTCTTGTCTTCCTTTACCACTTTCACATCAATCCCCCTGAATACACCACTCCAGGTTCTGAAAAGTTCAAGTCAACAGATCACATCCACAGTGTTGTAATTAGCCTCCAATTAAAATAAAAAAATTTATATTTTTAAAAAAACAGTTCATATCCCCGTTACCACTTATCATGAGGCATTTTCAGTTCAGTCACTCCATCATGTCAGACTCTTTGTGATGCCATGAACTGCAGCACTGTGAGTCATTTACCAATACTCAAACCACTTCTTTTAAAATCTTCATTATTTTAATCTCTTCATTCACTAACTCTCTTTGACAATGCTTTTGCTTTAATACCTAACAATGCACAAATTTATTCCAACTACTTGGCCTTTCAGTTCAGTTCAGTCACTCAGTCATGTTCAACTCTTTGTGACCCTGTGGACTGTTGCACACCAGGCTTCCCTGTCCAGCCCCAACCCCTGGAGCTTGCTTAAATTCACATCCATTGAGTTCATGATGCCATCTAACTATCTCATCCTCTGTCACCTCCATGTCCTCCTGCTGTCAATATTTCCCATCATCAGAGTCTTTTCCAATGAGTCAGTTCTTTTCATCAGGTGTCTGAAGTGTTGGAGCTGCAGCTTCAGCATCAGTCCTCCCAGGGACTATTCAGAGTTGATTTCCTTCAGGATTTACTGGTTTGATCTCCTTGCTATTAAAGGAACTCTCAAGAATCTTCTCCAGCGCTACAATTTGAAAGCATTAATTCTTCAGTGCTCAGCCTTTTTATGGTCCAACTTTCATACCTGTACATGACTATTGGAAAAGCCATAGCTTTGAGTATAGGGACTTTGTCAGCCAAGTGATGTCTCTGCTTTTAAATATACTCTCTACGTTTGTCATAGCTTTTCTTCCTAGGAGCAAACATCTTTGAATTTCATGATGGCAGTCACAATCCACAGAGATTTTGAAGCTCAAGAAAATAAAGTATGTCTCTGTTTCCATGTTTTCCCCATTTATTTTTCATGAAGTGATGGGACCAGTTTTCTAAATGTTGAGTTTTAAGTCCACATTTTTGCTCTCCTCTTTCACCTTCATCAAGGCCCTTTAGTTCCATTTAGCTTTCTGCCATTAGGGTGGTGTCATCTACATATCTGAGGTTATTGATATTTCTCCCCAAAACCTTGATTCCAGCTTGTATTTCATCCAGCCTGGCGTTTCCCATCAGGTACTCTGCGTCTGGTTCTAACTGTTGCTTCCTGGCCTGCATACAAGTTGTTCAGGAGGTAGGTAAGGTGTTATTTTATTCTCATTTATTTAAGAATTTTCCACAATTTGTTGTGATCCACACAGTCAAAGGCTTTGGCATAGTCAATAAAGCAGAAGTAGATGTGTTCCTGGAATTTGCTTGCATTTTCTGTGATCCAATGGATGTGGGCAATTTGATCTTTCGTTCCTCTGCCTTTTCTAAATACAGCTTGACCATGTGGAAGTTCTCAGTTTACATATTGTTGAAGCGTCAGTTCAGTTCAGTCACTCAGTCATGTCCAATCCTTTGCGACCCCATGAACTGCAGCAAGCCAGGCCTCCCTGTCCATCACCAACTCCCAGAGTCCACCCAAAACCATGTTCATTGAGTCAGTGATGCCATCCAACCATCTCATCTTCTGTCGTTCCCTTCTCCTCCTCCCCTCAATCTTTCCTAGCATCAGGGTCTTCTCAAATGAGTCAGCTATTCACATCAAGTGGCCAAAGTATTGGAGTTTCAGCTTCAACATCAGTCCTTCCTGTGAACACCCAGGACT